CACTCAATGTTCTTGTTTGTTCGGTGTGGCTCTTGGATGATCTGTGCCTGCCTTCTGTTGTGTTCACCAAGCGTTGTCAGTTCATGGTGAAGATGGCAAACAGCAGACCTGAAGCAGCCAGCATCTGGCTATGGAGGGAAAAGTTGCCAATTCGGCAACTGGGATTCTGTGTACCCTTTCTGGTCAATTGAAACCCTGTATTTAACTCAGATCATCCCTTCATGGGTCTGTAAGAATCTCAATAGCTGACGTGTCCTGAACCAGGCATTCAGTGTGATGCTTTACAAGTGCAATTTCAGTTAAGCTTCACAATAGCCTTACAAAGGAGGCCCTTTTTATCTGGCAGCCTTCTTGGCTGCAAGCAACCCAGGCTGATTCACTGTTCCAGGAGGGGGTTTATTGGAAGGATATTGGCGGCTACCAGTATAAGCGATAATCATTGCACCTTGAGGTATTTGGCCTCATGGTAATTGTCAGAGGCTGGAACTCAAGGCTATGGAAAGGGCAGGGAACCAGTGAACCCCAGAGGGCCAGGCGGCAGGAGAAAGCTGTTCTGTGTGTCACCTGTGCTGCTCCAATCACCATTAACTTCCAATCCTCTCTCCGCCCTGGACATTCAATCTGGATTTGCCGAGTTTTTGCATCAAGACCTGCCATGCGGCTGGACCAGGGCAGGAAAAAGAAGATCTTGCCTGCTAAGCATGAGTAATACTAGGGAGGCTCTCTCTTTCACGAACACTACACACCACTGGGGGATTCCCCCAAAGGAGGTGAATGTCAGGGTTTCCAGCCAGCCCACATTGGCAGATAACCCCCACAGTAACATCAGGGGCCTCGTTGTACAGATGAATATAACTGATGCTCAGAAGCCCTGGGTAGATTGCCCAATTTCACACAGGCATCAAGGGGCAGAGCTGGGATTTGCACTCTGAATTCTCAGAGTCCAGACATTAAGCTCTTCACCGCTAAGCGGCTCTGTGTTTCATTAGGGACCACACCCGTTAGGATGAGCTCAGCTGATGGTAACACGATATTCGTCTCAGACTGACCTAACAGTAAGGACATTTCTTAGCCTCCATATCCAGCACTGGTTAATCCTGCACCTCAGCCATGACATCAGGGACCTGGGTCAGCCTCTTGCACGTGGCCTCAGGGTGGCAAACACAGGCATCAGGGCCCCTGGCTTCCTCGCTCCTGTCCCACTGGGGAAAGTGGCAGTAGACTTTCCTATTCCTTCTCTCTGTAAAGTGCATGAAAGAACTTTATCAGAAGTCTCCAGCAAATCTCTCCCTTGGTCTCATTGACCAGAGTCAGGTCACGTGACCACTAGTAAACCACATGCTGGATGTGATTAACCTCAGACCTATCCCTGAAGCTGAAGTCAAACCCCAAAGTGCATGGCCTTTCCAAGAGGACAGAGAGGAGCTTCAGCTATTGGGGAGCTGACCATGGTCCACCAGGGGAATGACAATACATTTAAATAGCCATAAATGTGTGTAAGTTTAACTCATTTTACTTATAATAAAGACATAGGTCAGTCAATATATTCATCATACTGATACCTGTGATCCAGTTTATGTCTTTCTCTAGCTAATAAATGCTTTTTACTACAGAGCTGCAGTATAAACAGGATGCAGACACATTTTTGTTGGAAATAGAGACTCACCTTCAAGCTGGAGCCAGTGCACTTACCGGAGAAGCAAGGCTATGGTACAGAGGAAACCATTCCGTGGGTATGTGTAGAAAACCATCCAAGCCATGGGACACCACAGGTGAGTGGATTTGCATCTTAAGGACTGAATGCTGAGGGGCCTTCCGGAGAACAGCGGCAGCGTGGAGGTGGTACCAGGGCAGGAAAGCAGGGTCACAGTGGCCAGAGAGCTGAGCACGGGAGTCAGAAGCCAGGAAGCCCAGGGGCCAGCATGATTCCGGGCTCTACGCCAAGTGCCACACAACATTTTAGAAGGTTCAGTAGGAGAAATGAAGGCCAAGGTAAGGTTATGAATAGGAGAATCTTATTTCCTATGCCAGCTGGGTTTTCTTTCATTTTTCATTCATATATTTGCAGGTGTATTCGTTTTTATTGAACTCACAAGATTTCCTGTAGAGCCTGCAGAACATTAAAGGATGATGATTTCTCTTCTAGAGAGAGGTCCGATGTCTTTAATTCAGGAGCTTGAAACTTTTTCGAACATGACCCACTCTTAAAAAATACATTTTACACCAGGATTCTAGTACACATTAACATGTGTCTTACTGAAACAAGGGTTTCCAAAAACAAAGCTTGCCCTTCCTCTAGGTGACACATTCTTTTTTTTTTTAACATTTTTTTATTGATTTATAATCATTTTACAATGTTGTGTCAAATTCCAGTGTAGAGCACAATTTTTCAGTTATACATGAACATAAATATATTCATTGTCACATTTTTTTTCTCTGTGAGCTACCATAAGATCTTGTGTATATTTCCCTGTGCTATACAGTATAATCTTGTTTAAATATTCTACAATTTTGAAATCTCGTCTATCCCTTCCCACTCTCTGCCCCCTTGGCAACCACAAGTTTGTATTCTATGTCTATGAGTCTATTTCTGTTTTGTATTTATGCTCTGTTGTTTGTTTGTTTGTTTTAGATTCCACATATGAGCGATCTCATATGGTATTTTTCTTTCTCTTTCTGGCTTGCTTCACTTAGAATGACATTCTCCAGGAGCAACCATGTTGCTGCAAATGGCGTTATGTTGCCAGTTTTTATGGCTGAGTAGTATTCCATTGTATAAATATACCACACTTCTTTATCCAGTCATCTGTTGATGGACATTTAGGCTGTCTCCATGTCTTGGCTGTTGTAAATAGTGCTGCTATGAACATTGGGGTGCAGGTGTTAGGTGACACATTCTTAACACGATGGTTCCCTACATGTGGTCCTGAACCAGCAGCAGCAGCAGGAAGTCATTAGAAATGCAGGTTCTTAGCCCCACACCCCCTCAAAGAGAGGCTGGATCATAAGTTCTGGTTGTGATTCTGGTATACACTTAAGTTTGAGAATGACTACATAAAAAATATTATATCATTTGAATCTATTTAATTTTTTTAAAAAAAGTGTTTGTAAGCCACCAATTTGGGGGTAGCTTAAAACTACTTTTAGAAAAACTCAGAGGCTCCCTTGGGCTCCTTCCTTCTTCCCTTCCCAAGCTCATCTCTACCATCTGCCCTTTACAACCTTGCTCCAGGCAGCCCCAGCCAACAGCAGCCAGGTCCGCCTCCTTTCTGGTTCTCAAACTCAGCCCTTCCCCTTCTGAATCTGCGTTATACACCCCTGTAGGAAAGCTCCCCCTCCCCTCCACACTTTCAGGGCTGGCTCAAGCTCCATGAGGGTTCTTGGCTCAGGTGCTCTTCCTGAGACTGGCTTGTCTCCCTGGGTGAGTCTCAGCCTGTCTATTTTCTTTCGTCATCACCCTTAGCAGAGCTGATCCTGATCAGCCTCCAGCTGACCCAGGCTGCTGAGAACAATGCCTGGCATATAGTAGGTCCTCAATAAATATTTGTTGAAGGAAAGAAAGAATTAATGAGTAACTATCAACCACACATACCTGGGAATACCTCATCATCCCTGGAGAAGTATTTCCAGTCCACAAAGCCTGGCTCCCCTCTCTGACCTGGCCTTTTCTGGTGAGACACCCTGCCACTGTCTTGGAAGGGGAGAGAAGGAGACTGAGAATCCCCTCTCCTGATGTCCCTTGCCTTGACCTTCCTCCACCATTCTGCCGTGTAATATTTAAATCAGGGAAATGATGAGCGAGGAGCCCGAGAATCAAGTTACGGCACCGGGGTTCAAGGCAGGGTTCACTGCACAGCCTGGCTGCTGGGCTGCTGGACGTTAGGCAAGCCCATTAATGTCTTTAGGCTCAGTACCACTGGGGTCACGAAACCCTGGCTCAAGCTCATTTGTAGAGTCGTCAAGGGTCAAATAGGAGAGAACTTGTGAACATACCTTGTATTCCAAAGCATTCACACCCTGAACAGCTAAAGGACCAACCCATAAGCCACATTTGTAACATTAAGCAAGACTCTCCCAAGGAAACTGCAAGAGTGTGGACAGGAAGTCCATGGTGGGAGCGAGCAAACTTGAAAATACCTACATGCATGGCTCCGAAAAGGAGTGCCTGGAGCCTCTGGATCTACAGGAGGGCTTGGGTGATTTGCATAATGATTTGCATATACTTTGCCTATCAATTGAGGTAAGTGGCTGATCCCTTCTCCAACCATCCTTGGCCTCTTCACTTTCGTGGCCTCCCCCACCCCTACCAATGGAGCCCAGCCTGGAAAAATGGTGGGTTGGGCTCCCCCTGGGGGCCCTCACTGCCTGCCCTCTCCCTGCAAAAGCAGGTCTGGGGGTGAATCTGGCTCAGCCTGGAGAGGTCCTGTGCCTGATGGATGGCGGGCCTTCAGCGCGGCTGAGCTTTAACAGTCAAAACTATTAAAGGTTATTCTCCTTTTAATTCTTTGTGGTCGTTCTTGCTCCTGCTTTTGAGAAACCTCCTATTTTCACTTGTGAGACGCTCGGCTGCGCTTGTCACGCCCTAAGAGGTGATTTCAGTTCTCCGATGCCAAAGAGCCTTTTCTGCTAATCAAAACACAGCTGCAGAGACCCATATGATCTGCTAATGGGCACCCCAACTCCGGGGTATGTCTGTCTGTACCTGGGGAAATAGATATAATTAGGATAACAGATATCATATGTATATGTAAATGCAGCAGGTAAAAATGACTAGCGGGGGAGATGGGGGTGGGGTGGGGCTGGCATTTGCCAAATCCCATCAGACCAGCCATGCAGCTTAACCAGAGACCGACCCCATCACTAGTCCACGCCTTCCCCAGAACCAGCGCTGGTGCCCTCTCTGCATCCCCTTTTCTCCCCTATGCTGAACCCCTCATGGGAAGTATTGTTCTTTTTCATGTCAAAATAGATCCCCACACTTTTCTGAAAAAAAGTTCTTTCAGTAGCCCCAGACCTGGCGAGGCTGCAGGAATCTTAGCATCTGGGAGCAAGTGAGGAAAAGAGGGACCAGAAGAGACTTCCTCTCTGATGTTTTGCCTTTAGTAAGGGTTCTGTTCCCCAGAGTAGGAGCATCCTGACCAAAGAGGACCTGGCAAATCATGACTAAGACCTGATTGCCTTTTTCAAAGGGAACCACCCTATGAGGAGAGCCTGGAAGTTTGGTGTCAGGAGTCAGAAGGCCTGGGTTTACGCTGTGTGTCTGCTTCTTCCTGGTGGGGTGAACTTGGGCAAGTGACTTACCTCTCTGTGCCTCAGGCCCCTCACCCTAAAATGGCTATCATATCAGTACCTACTTGAAAGGACCTGGCAAGCTTCAAGCTCTCAGGTAATGTCCTTTGTAATGGGTTTGTGGGAGGGGGAAGAGTGTCAATGGTCAGGCCCAGGTCCTCACTCCACTATATCCATCCATCTGTGTGCTCTTGGATAAATCACTTCACGTCTCTGAGCCTCAGTTTTCTCATATTTAAAATGGGCTAATATTGCCTACTTTCCTGGGCTGTTAGAGGATCGAAGAGGCAGTGGATAGATGTCATGGTGTCTAACAGCCAACAACAGAAGCTAGTTATATATATAGAGTAATACATCTCTTGGGAGCTCCAAGTCTGAAGTCATGGGTTGAAGATGGATTGAAGAGGACCTGGCTCCCATCCAGCCGGTTGAAATTACTCAGAGCAGTGCAGGCAGATGACATGGGCACTGACTTTTACCAAGCTGTGCAGACATTCACGGTGGGCATCCAACCTCTACCCAGTTACAAGATTCTGCATGAGGACCTCCGACTTTTGTCTTGGGGTTGGGACCTAGGCCATTTTCATTTCTGGATGCCTTGTGCCTAGCACAGTGCCTAGTGCATTGTAGATGCTCAAGAAATAGTCGTTGGTTGTCTGAATCAATGGATGAATCAATGTTGAATCACATTCTAAATTTATGTCTCTGCCCTATGGGCAGCAAAGAGATGGCTGTCAGAGTCCTGGTCCTTCTACAAATGTTGAGAACAATACTTGTACAGAGCAGGTGGACTTTGGTGTCAGAACCATTCAAATCTTGGCCTTGCCATATCTTAGAAGTGGTTCAAACCTTATTTGAACTTCAGTTTAAGAAAACTGACTGAACCTCAGTTTGCCTCATCTCTAAAAGGGGGATAAAAACCATACCTTCTTTATAAGGTTATGGTGCAGAGTTCTTAAACTTGTACTTGCCAGTGTCTGCGTGTTCCCACAAGGCTGGGGAGAGAAACTGAGATGGATCTCTTTCCTCCCTTTCCACCCTTCTTCCCTAATCGCTACACGGATGCTGCGGGTATTTCAGACCCGGTCCAGTCCCAAGCCCTGGAAGTGATTCTGATCCTTTATCTAACCGTGGCATTGATGTTTTTTATTCTTGTTGAAGGCATCAATATTCGTTCAATAGTATAAGTCTTAAATAAGCATCTTTTAAACGACATACTACAGATGATGAAAGTCATTTCCGCGCAGAAGATTATCTCACACGATCATGTTTCCATCGTTATCTGGGGCCTCTGTACTTGGCAAATCTCTGGAGCTGCTTAAATGATAACATTAGTCCTAATACCGTGTAAAATGACTAGTTCCTCGGGGTAGGTTTATTTTTAATAGTGTATGTCAGCAGCAAATAGCTCGAAAGACCCCAGAGGAAAAAGCACAGCTCACGCGCTCACTGAAGTGATGATATGGATATATTTAATATCTATATTAAAAACCTTTTAGGAGCCATGGTGATATTGAACTGGATAGTCAGACATGTTCAGGCAAAATCCTGGGCCGTTTATAGGGCACGATGCAGTGTGTGTTACAGAAATCTTTTGAGGTTGTTCAAAGTCAAATCTGGGCTTCAAAAATCTTTGACAGACATTTGACCCCAGTAGTAAAATACTCTGAAACACACGCTAAGAGAATAAAATCGCTTCCTTTTCTTTTTTGTGAGTCTGTTGATAAGTTTGCTGCACTATTAAAATGTTTAATCGCTCGCCTCCAGCAAGAGCAACCTTCCATCTGAAGTTACAGTTTATTAGAGGTCCCGAAACTTACTGCTATTTCCCCAAAAGATGGCCGGGGGACCCTTAGAGGGAAAACAAACCACAAGCTGACATCAAGCATAGAGTCACAGATAAATGGATTGAAAATAAATAAAAAAATAAATACTTGGAGATCGATGTCGGGGAGATCGTGTGAAATTTGCACCAAAGCTCCTAACCTGAATGGACAGGGTTAAGCTGTGGAGTGCCCAGAGATCCAGCCTGAGCTGCAGCCCTGAGACAGCCGCAGAAAGAGGTACCAGCCTGGACCAGGGAGGGGATGACGGGGGTGCTCACTAGAGGTCTGTACCTTCCAAGATGGAATTCCTCTCTGCTTCAGGGCATGGTCAAGGGAAGCCCAGACCGCAAGGGCAATGAACAGAGGCCCAGCTTCAGTGAAGCTCACCGTCCCTTCCCTCTGGCTTTTGTAGGTATAGTCCTCTGGCCTTTCAGATTTAACCGAAAGCAAACTGAGTTCTGGGGCAGAGGATTGGGTTATGGAAACTGCAGCCTTCTTGGGGTGGCCTCATTGGCACAACACTATGGACCTCACCTGTAGAGGAAGTAGTGCAGAGGCCTCTTGGATGACCACAAAGAATTAACTCCTTTTGATAACTGGGCATCCCAGACTGTGCCTTGAAGGATACCTAACAGTAATGAGTCAACTCGGAAGTATGAGGTTACAAGTCTCCAAAAATGAGGTACAGAGATACAGGGAATTCCCCATATAGCATCCTGGGTCCTTGTTATCCAAAGAGCTAAAATTCATTTTAAAAATTGGATAATTCTTTCCCAAACTTGGTGAAGAGGAATAACAAGTATTCTAGCAGGAAAGGACACCAAAGCCCAATATATTGGGAAATTGTACATCTCGAAGAGTCACATAGTCTGTCAATGGCTCTGATAAGTCCAGAAGTGAAAACCTAGCCAACAAAATTACTTTCACTCTGCTCAACCCAGCATTTCCCCAGATCATTTGGCTGGGCTTTCCTTTCTTCACTTCCTCACCTTCCTCATAAGAATCCCTGTGTGGCAGGCGGAATTCTAACAATGTTCATCCCTTTCCAAGATTCTCTTCTTCTGGTTATCTGATCAATCCTAATGCAGGTACTGTTGTGAAGGAATTGTGTAGATGGAAGGAAAGTGCAGGTACATTGACCTTACGACGGGGACATTGTCTGGGTGAGTCTGACCCAATCAGTGGAGCCCTTGACTGAAACAGCGAGAAGGACCTGAAGTCCCCTCACTGGCTTTGAAGGTGAAGAGGCCATATAGGAAGGAACGTGAGTGGCCTGGAGAAGCCGAGAGTGACCACCCCCAACCCCCGCTGAGAGCCAGCAGAGATGGGAGGACATTAGACCTGCAGCTACAAGGAACGAGATCATGCCGACAACCTCAGTGACGCTGACAGCAGATTCTTCCAGAGCTACCAGGAAAGAGTCCACCTTACGAAATTTTGTCCTTGTGAGATTCTGCGTAGAGAACCCCAGTAAGCCCACCCCAACTTCTGTTCCACAAAACCGTGACATAATAAATGAGTGTTGTTCTTAAGCCGCTAAATATGTGGTAATTCATTCGTTATACAGCAATAAAAAACAAATACTGCTAACTCAGAGAAATCAGAGCAGAATTAATGGTGATCCACTCCTCCCAACCACATTACATTTATAAGATGTTTTACACGTAGTGAAACACTTCCATCTAATTAAGTCCTACCAGTGATGCTCAGATGCCGGCAGGGCAGGTGTCTTCACATTTACAGGTGAGGAAATAGACTCAGGGAGATTGAAGAACTTGCCCAGGGCACTCAGCCAGTAAATGCAGGCAAGGCAACTTGAAGGGGGCTGTTATTTGTGACTTAGGGTGGGGGAGTTTCCTTTGCTTCCTCCTTCCTTCAAATAGTAAAAAACGTGAGCATTGGGAGACGATGCCACTGGGAACTTGCAAAGGAGGACTGAAGAAAGAAAATTCAGAGAACATGTCAGGCGAAGAGTTTGCTTCATCAAAGAAGTCTTTGCTTTCATCCCTTGTCGCTGACCAGAAAACCTTGTTGGAAAAAGGACTCACAGCTGTGAGCCTGTGACAACGTGTGGGGGCAGGGTGCCCAGAGGCCGCCGGAAGTGGATGGCGGGATGCTTTATTTGGATGACTAAGGGCAAGACACACAGGCCTATAATATGGAGAGGAGCAGTGTCTGCAGGCTGACCTCCCAGATGGATGGTTTGCAGAGGTGGGATTGCCTGCAGAAGCAATCTGCTTTCTCTGCCACAAGTAGTAGTCCCACCTGTGCTGCCCACACCCCTGAAACGGGCCTGTGACTTAGCATCACGGAGCAGACAAGTCATCCGGCACCATGTCCTGTGGACACAAGGGGAGACCGAGGTCCAGGAAAGGGATAAAACTCCTTTAAGGTCACAGGTGCCTTGACTTTCCATCCCAGGATCCCCCAACACAAACACACACACACACACTCTCACGCTCACAACACAATACTTAGCTATTTTATTGTGGCAATTTTCCATGTTGTTTAATGATCACTTCCTGATGAACCAGAGCTCCTTACCAAGAAAATTTAGTGTGTGTGTGGTGTGTGTGTTTGTTTTGTGTCCAGCATGAGTCAGAACTGTGTAAGTGTTTACTTTTGTTCTAGTAATAATAGAGTCCGATCCTGACGGAGTGCAGACCCAGGGCTGGACACTGTCTTCAAAGTGCCCCTGGTTCACTCACTTCATTGGAACAGCAAGGCCATGAGGTCGGGGCGGGGGTGGGGGAGGAGCCAGCAGAGTTCTTAACAAATGTCTCTGGCCAGAGGTGGGTCCGGGTTTTGTAGGGTCTGAAGCTTGTGCGATCTGGGGGTCCTCTTAAAGAAAAGGAATACAGAGCTACTGATATAAAATGAGGGGCAGGGTCCTGGAAGGCACCCAAGGAAGAAGCCTTATGGTAAACCTGCCTGGGGTTCCCTTTTCCTCCAGGGCACAGGTTAGGGTCACACGTTCCTGCCCTGTGACGTTAGCCAGGCCACGTGACTTGTACTGGCCAGTGGGATGTGGATAAGCTTCATGTGCGTCACTTCCAGGAGGAAGTTTTGATAATCGGTGTGTGAGTCCTGGCTTTCCTCCGCGATCGTGACTTTCACGTCCGTGCACGGATGATGTGGGTGTGTGCTCATACGGATCCTCCTTTGCCCTGGGACTGTGAGTCATTACAGTGATCAGAGCAGCCCCTCTCTGCCTCCTGCCCCATGTCAACCCGCAGTGAACACAGATTGCGAGTGGGAAATAAGCTCTTGGTCTGTTAAATCTTGAAGATTTTTGAGATTTTTTTTAATTGAAGTACAGTTGATTTACAAAGTTGTGTTAGTTTCAGATGTACAGCAAAGTGATTCAGATTCTTTTCCATCATAGGTTATTACAAGATATTGAATAGAGTTCCCTGTGCTATACAATAGGTTCTTGTTTATTTATTTTATACATAGTAGTGTATGTCTGTTTGGATATATATATATTTTTTTTAACCACAGCAAACCTAGCTTAACCTAACTGATGTATATAGGCTATTATTGCTCCCATTTTCCAGATGACAAATCGAAGCATAGAAAGGCTTAGTCACTTGCTCTGGGTCACACAGCTAATCAGTGGTGGAGCTGGGGTCAGTGTCTCAGTTTCCCAGTGATACCAGGGAAGGGTGGGGTCTTTCCTAAACTGGAGATATTTGTCCCATGAACCCAGAAGCTGCTACTCAGCTCCAGCTGATGGTTGTAAAAGAGGAATGTGAGCCAATCATTGCCAGATCTTCTGGGTTTTTAAAAGAGAGGCCATAAATCTAGAGTTTTCATGTGAAATCCCAATGATTATACTTAGGCAACCGATTGAAGTCATTTTCCTTTTTTGAACGTGGCTAGGCCATGACATCAGTGAGCTTGATTTGGTTCACTGGTTGGGACCGTATAGCATCCAATTTCTCATTAAAATAACAAAACAAAAGACAAGAAGCAACAGAAAATTCAGGCCAGGAAGAGGTTTGCCTAAGTGACAGAGTCAGGGTTACAACCTGGACAGAGATGGACAGAAAAGGGGGTGGGTGGGAAGAGATGAGGAAAAGGCTTCGAGGTGCTGGTAGGACTGGGCACACGGGGTTACAGGCATCTGTCCAGTGTCCAGAGAGAAGCGGTCTCATGCAGTAAGATGACCCGGGTTGGGGGTTGTTCCTGGAAGTAAAGAGAGTCGCATACATTTTCAAGGACTCAATCACATAGAAAGTGTTTGTTACGGTTATTCAGATTTCTCTATGAAGCCACCATCCTCACACCCAAATACCCCTCGAGGAAACACTCGTGGTTCTGTGCGATGCGTAGCTGGGAGCATGACTGTGACCGTGAGCCTGCGGGATTGAGCAGGATGTGGCTGAGTGTCATTGAGCCAAAGAGAGAAGGGGCTTCCTGGAAACCGGAGATCTACTTGGACCCAAAGGTCCTTCATAAATCCCTGATGAGGCCAAGGTATTTCCATCTGCCTGTCTCTTCTTCCGCTGTTTGTCTGTGGACTCAGCACGTTCTCGGGGAGTTAAACAATGAGTAGTTAAGAAGGCCAGGCCCACGTGACTCTCAACACTAAGGCTCTGACAGGCAAAGTCATGGTCAGATGAACCTAGTGTGGGTCCAGAACATCTGAGCTCGTGCATTAACCCACAGGTTCCCAAAGCACAGAGGGGAACGTGAGATGCTGTAAGAATAAGTGGGACATCTGTGGAAATAGAACCTTGTGGACAAAAAACATTTGGGAAACTGACTTACACAATGCAATAAGGCCCTTGGCGGGACTTCTCAGAACTTTAATAGGCCATGAGCACTGAGCATCTCCAGGAAGGCAAAATAAAAGGACACAAGTGAACTTATTTACAAAACAGAGACAGACTCACAGACAGAGAGAACAAGGTTATGGTTACCAGGGGGTAAAGGGAGTAGGGAGGGATAAACCAGGAGTCTGACATTTGTAGATACACACTTACTATATATAAAACAGGTAGACAACAAGGTCCTACTGTACAGCACAGATATTACGTCTAATATCTTTTAATAGCCTATAATGAAAAAGAATATAAAAAAGAATACATATATGTATAACTGAAGCACTATGCTGTACATTAGAAACTAACACAACACACAATTGTAAATTGTAACACTAACACAATTGTAAATTGACTGTACTTAAAAAAAAAAAAGAGAGGGCAACATGGGACCCTGCTTGGCCGTGGAATCCCCCCCCCCCACCCCCGAATCTCTTGGGAAAGAATGTGGCAGAGAACATTCTTTGAGACTTGCAGGCTAATTTTTCTTTCGTGGCTTCTCTCCTCATCTCTCAATAGCCTGGCCTCTTTCTTTCCAGGTTTCTTTGAGAATTGCAGTTTTCTCTTTTCAGGAAATGGGTCATTTCTAGTTATCCATTAGTTTCAGCAAGTAGGTGGGGCAGCGGAGACTGGGGGGAGGTCAGAGCGTTGCTGTCACTGTTGGCCACATGTCCTGGGGATCTCTGGGGTGGCGCGGGGATTAACCCTGTTCTCCAAGGAGTGACTTTCACAGTTGGAATGTCCAGCCCAGGGGAGACAGACACTTTAAGGCAAAGGGACAAAGCACTTGGGAGGTAGCAGGACTCTGGAGGAAACACCCCCTCTGCCTGGGGACACGTACTGCGGGAGGAGGAAAAGGAAGAGGAGGAGGAGAGAGAAACCCCTGAGTGGCTGACCCAAAGGGGCCCCTTTTATGGCCTTCCTGTTTATGGCTGAGAAGTAAACAGCCTGGGAGCCAGGTCGTCTCCGACAGCAGCTGGGGCACTGGCTTGGGCTGCCTGGGGACCCTCTCTTTCTGGGTGGCAATAGGCGGGGCATCTGCCAGTCACGGGAGTCTCAGGGGGCACTTTTTTTTTTTTACCAGCATCTTGGGGCATTTTTCCTTCAACTCACACCATCTGCCTCACCGACATCACTGGTCTGCCTTTCTTTCGGGGGACAGCTGGGAATCTGTGTGTGCAGGCTCGGGTGCAGATCCCTAAGCTGGGACACTTCGTAGCTGTGTGGCTTCAGGCGAGCCCTGCACCTCTCTGAGCCTCCTTTGTAGGGGTGAGTAGGAGGAGTCTGCGAGGATGTGCAGACTGTTGTCCCTGCGAATAGCACTTACACTTTGCCTGGCATGTGGTACCCGTCAATGCGGGTTTACCTATATGATGATTTCAACTGCCCTCCTGACTAAGCCCCCAGAGCCTGAGTGGGGGTGGGGTGGGGGGGCTAAGAGCTGGGGAGGGGTCAGGTCTACCTCTGAGAGGTTCCCTGGCCTCCACCCAAGGTAGCAGCTATCTCTCTGGATTGGAACCCGCAGCCCTTTGCCTCTGGAGAAAGGCAGGCTGTGATGGATGACGCGACGGTGTTTCACCTGAGATGAAGAACACGGCGCCGGGGGCAGCAGGAGAATCGATAAACTATAATTATCAAGAACGATGTCTGTGGGAGGTGTGGAGTCCTGCCGTCAGAAAGAGACGGAGGAGGGGCCGGGGGAGGAGGGGCCGGGAGAGGAGACGGTGAGAACAAGACACACATGCACATCCTGATAGATGTGGAAAAAGTGTGCCCTGGGGGAGGCAAATG